TCCTCGATATTTATATATACACATATATATATATATACATAGATTTATTCATCAACTACAAATACTACCAGTACAGATCCGATAAATTCAGATTTTTCGAGTGTTCAATCTTCACAAATCGTAAGTTTTATCTTTATCGTTGTCAAATACATATATCTTATTCAATTAAATATAAATTTATGTCCTTGTGTATATATATATATAAATATTATTTATTCATATGTCATATCTTTGCTTTTACTTTCTTTTTATTTATATATAGAAATGAATATACTGTTCTAGTATTGTTTAACTAACACAGATATATATAAAATATTTTTTTGTTTTTGATGATTTATATATTATTATTCATTTTATTTAGTATGCACCACAAAATTTTCAATATCGAAATACAAATATCTTTTTGCCACCACCACCAAATGTACCAAATACAAATTCAATGTATCATCATACATCACAGGGTTCAATATCTGGTAATTTCTATTTTTTTTTTTTTACAAAGAATTTTAAACTTTTACAATATAAGAATAATTATTTATAATCTATATAACTCATATAGTCTTACTTTAAAAGTGATTCATCAATTGAAAACTTTGATTATTAATTTAAAAATTTTTGAATTTTAGCTCCACCACAAAATAATCCACTACAACCACAAGCACCAATGCCTAGTTATCCATCACCATTTTTAGTTGATCATGGTGGTCATATGATTGGTCAACCACAACCACCACCACAAGCATATATGAGTATGTCTTATTTTTGGTATGAAACAATTCTTATTTTGTTTTTTTTTTAAGATAATCAAATGATGTCTGGTCGACCACAAGGTGGTCCATACTATCGAACACCACCACAACAACAATTACAAACACCTCCGGGACCACCTTATGGTACTCAAGATCCATTAGCACATGGAGGATTTTATCCACCATTTTTTCAACCATCTAATTCAAATGCTCCACCTGTTGGACATAATGTAAATATAAAATTATGAATTTCTTTTTTTGTATTGTTTTTCGTTTCTTTTTCTATAGTTATATGGACAAAATGAAGGTTTTCATCATCCTCATCCACAAATGTTTGCTCGTGCTGGTTCAATAGATCGTAATGATCATCCATTAATGTCTCAACCACCACCACCACAATCATTATCACGTCCAACAAATTATCCATCAACAACATCAAATCAACAACAACAAGGTCCACCACCATCATTATTATCACAAAATTTAAAATCATTTCATACAAATCAACAACAAACATCATCATCAAATCAAGCACAATTTTATCCACCACCACCACCAAATCAATATGCTCGACAACCAATGCCAATAGGTGCTATGAATACAACAAATAATCGTCAACAAACTCAACAAGTACCTAGTTTAATGAGTGGTATAAGTAAAAATTTTTCAAATAATGGAAATAATCTTAATAATACACAAACATTATTTCAACATCGACAACCATTAATACCACCACAACAAACAAATACTAATCGTCCATTATATCAACATCATACACAATATTCAAATTATTCAAAAACAACTGGTCAAAATGATGATAATATTAAACCAAAACATATATAACATTAAAAAATTGTTTGATATTGATTCTTCTTCTTTTTTTTTCGTTCTTCTCATTCAAACATTTATTCGTTCTTTATGCTTGTCCTACATTTTTTCTCTCTCTACTGTTGTGTGTGTGAGTGTTTGTTTGTGTGTGTTGATTAAAAGAGAGAAACATAATATCCCTTACTTTTTTTTTTTCTTCTTTTTGTCTTACCTACATCACATTTATTATTCGATATTGTATAGGTGTCACTCATTTTTTCTTTTTTTGTTCCCTTCTTGTTGTTGTTATTGTGCTTGAAAGTAACAAATACCCATTTAAGAAACGACACGTATGTTTCGTATTCTCAAAAAAAAAAAAATAAAAAAATAAATCAGCACATATACTCTCTTCCTTATCCATTTGTTCTGCTTATTTCATTTCTTTTTTTTTTTTGTATAGCAATCCATGTTTCTCTCTCTCTCGTTTTTTTTTTACTATATTTACAGACAATACATACTTTAACGTTCGTTTGTCTTTAAGAAACAGACACAAAAAAAAACCAAAGATTAATTCTTATTCTTCTGCTATTTATCATCGATATATATGATATGTTTCAGATAATTTAAAACAAGAAAAAGAAAACAAATGTCCAATATAAAAAATATTGAAGAAGAAAAACAATTATTATCTGAACGTTTAAATGCATTAAATACAACAGAATTACATGCATTTGATTTACAATTAACTTTATTACGAACAGCATTTGAATCATATAAACGTGAAACAGTATTTAAACCATGTCCACCATTTCTTATTGGATATAATGATGATGAATTGGTGAGTTAATTATATAGTATTAATAATAATCTTGTCATATGATTTTTCATTGATAAATAATAAGTAAAGAGAAAAACTCGTGATAAATATTTATCATGTCGTCTTGTCCTGACATCAAGTTAAATGATAAGAAAAGTTTTTGTTTTTTGCTTGATAAGATCTTTCAAAATTAATCAACAATTCGAGATATTGAAGTTTTTTTTTTGCATGAAATCGATTTTTATCACATGCTTGAGGCAAACGATCCTTGTGTAAAAATCTAAGATCTCAATACAACAGTAATCTATTTTTAGGTGAATAAATAATTCAAAATTTATTTCATATCAACAATGAAGCCTTTAGCAAACGTCTGTTATAATACGAAGTCTTTTAATTTCAAAATAAGGTTCTTTTATTAAAAAAAAAAAATTTCTCACGTAACAGTCTAATCCTTGAAAGAAAACATTGTTTGTGTGTGTGTGTTTCAAACTGATTAAATTGAATTTTTCTTCTTATATTTTTGTTTTTATAATAACAATTTATCAAATGAAGAGAACTATTCAATAATTAATTTCGTTTTCTATTTATTTGTTTGTATGAGTTCATGATAGTTGTAACGATGGTCACATAGGTCGAACCTATTCTGATTAATCACGATTCTAATTATTGAACTTGTAGACATTCAGATTGAGTGAAAATTCATGCAATTTAATTATCTTCCTAAAAGCTGCTATGAATATCTCTACGTCCGATATAAAATTCTCTATAACAAATTATTCCTGATATAAATAAACTATCGATTTTACTATTAAACTTGAAACTTTTAAAAACAAATAGTTTCTAATGATGTTCATAAAAACTTATCACATGTTATGAATTGAATTTACGAGAATGTTAAAACACTTATAAATAAGGGTCTAATATAAAATTATAATAGTCATAGCTCATAAGAACCTATGTAATCTAATTTAAAAACGATTTGATAATATTCGATGTCATTACTTTCAAAAATGTTTTTTTTTTGTTTTTAGCGTAATGTCTTTCGTTTACCACCTGTAACGGTATTTCTATCTGTATTGGATCAATTAAGTGACTTACAAGTTTTATTATTGAATTGGCTTTTAACTCGTGATACATTTAAATTAAATATGACACCAGTTGAATCTGTATGTTTAAAAAAACACAAAAGAATTCGAGTTTTATTTTTTAAATATTTTCTAAAAAAAAAAAAAAACTAAATATATATTCTTAGGTACTTTCACTTGTAAAACATCAATTATCTGTTCCAACACCAAATTTTGCATTTGAAATAAATTATAATCAAATTCGTAATGAACGTTTTAATAATTTAACACAAAATGATCAATATAAAATATTTTATGCATATCATGGTACACGTTTAGATAATCTTCATTCAATACTTCATATTGGTTTTCTTGGACATATGAATAAATTATCATTATTTGGTTCGGGAACATATTTTTCTTTAGAACCATCTGTATCACTTCATTATTCACCATTTTCAACTGTTTGGTCAAATAGTTTATTAGGTAAAAGACTTAGTTGTCTTTTATTATGTGAAATAATTGATCAACCTGATCATGTTAAACGTTCAATTGAAAGTAAATAATTAATTTTATTTATTAAACAAAAAAAGTTTTAATTTAGATGAAACATCAAATAATCAAGAACGAAGAATTGTTAGTGATAGTCAAGCTGGTGCTGTACCTGATAAATATGTTGTTGTTACATCCAATGAACTTGTAAGAGTCAAATATATTCTTATCTATTCAGAATCCAATGAATTAATACAGTAAATTATTTATTTATTTCTTATAAATTATTATTATTTTATATTTTTTTTAAGAATCAATCAAGTAACAAGATCTCGTTTACGAACATTTTTTTCTACACATCGTTATCATCTTTGTTTACTTTTCTATTTTATTCTTCTTTTATTAATTGGTTTTTTTAATTCAAATTTATTTAAATTTTATTGGCGTCTATTTAAAAAACGTTCTAATCATCTTCTTTTTGGGTCATGGCATTTGACTCAATAAGTATTTTGTTTTTTTTCCTTTTTGTGCTATATAAACTTTTTTTTCTCTACAAGTAAAAATGTGCTTATTATACATATATATACAATAAACAGAAGAAAAAAGAAATATATTTCAAATTTTTTTTTTCATCTTTTTCTACATGATATTTTGTTTTTGTTTTGTTTTTATTTCAAGAATGTAATATGCAAATAAATTTTATTTTTATACATAAGAACTTTCATTTTTTTTTTTTTTGTTTTCAATTTTGAATAATTGATAAAACTGAACAGAGGATTTACATATTATTTTTCAACAGGTAAGATAAGATCAAGTTGAGTATAGGTCAATTGAATTTGAATATTTGATATTTATTTGTCGTTTATGGTTGCTTCACAACGTTATTATTCATTAATTTTATGTTATTTTTTTTATTTGGCTTGACGACTGTTGTTGTAACACATATGATTCAGTAATGATTTTTCTGCGTTATTCATCTTTTTTGTTTGTGAATAAAAAAATAAAATAAAATATTTTTTTTTTTGTTATCTTATGTCTTGGTGATAATCGACTGATTCAATAGTTAATGACTTATGTTGTTGCAGTCGTGGCAACAGCCGTTCGATTGAAAAATTCAGCAATTATTGCTCGACTTTGATTCGTATCACTATTATTATATTTCATTAGAAGAGGATTTTCAAAGAAATTTGTTGGTAATGGTCGATCAACAGGATTTTTTGATAGACATTGTTGAATTAATGAAGCAAATTCTGATGAATAACCACGATTTGCGGGTAATGTAGGTGGTGTTTCATAAACAATACATTGAACTAATTCAAAAGGTCGTACAGCTATTGGTGGATAAGAACTTTCTGCTTGAAATGGATATCTACCAAGACCTATTTCAAGAATAGTCATACCAAGACTCCAAATTTCAGATGGTATACTATATTCATCTGAACTAACTCGTTCTGGTGCCATATATTTATGTGTACCAATAAATGATGCAACTTTTTGACCAATTGTTTCTAATACTCGACTAACACCAAAATCACATAATTTAATTGAACCTAAACTATTAACTAAAACATTGGATGGTTTAACATCACGATGCATTATTTTTCTACTCCACATATAAATAAGACCTTGAATCATTGATAATGTTATATGTATAAGAACATTTTCCGGTATAAGTATACCAATATATTGTTCAAGTGAACCACGATCCATATATTCTGTACATATATGTACAGAATTTTCATATAGATAAGCACCATGTAATTGTACAATATAATCTGAATTTAAAGTATTTAATGCATTAAGTTCAGTAACAATTTCTTGTTTTTTTTCATTTTTTTCAAAATCAAGTGAAATTATTTTAACAGCAAGAATTTGTTGTGTTTGTCGATTACGACATCGTCGTACAATACCACTATTACCAGTACCAATTATTTCAAGCATATCAAGTGATAACATATTACCAGATGAAAATATATGTTCAACATGTGCTTCAAGATTTAAAAATTTTTGTTTTGTATTATAAGATTCATCTGAATATGATGACATTGTATCGATTGTTAAATTTGCATGATTACGATTTACAATAGTTTCAAGTTTAAGTATTGGCTTAGAAAATTCTTCTTCTTGACATAGACGAAAATAAAAATTTCTTAATGGTCCCATTTCAAGTTCACTTGATACAGTTACATGATCTCCATCATCATCTATATAAATAAATGATGTAAACGGATGTTTACATGATGGAAATGTATGTTCAGCTAAATGAATTAATGAATCAAATGTTAATAAATCTTGTGATTCTAATATTGCTAATCGACATTCACGTCCCAATCGAAATTGTATTTCAATAGTATTCATTTTCTTTTTAATTTATTCTTTATGTATTCTTTTTCTTTTTTTTTGTCTTCACAAAAGCAAACTTTGCACTATAATCGAACTTTGTATTTCGTTCTCAATTGATAAACAAAACATCTGTTACCATCGTTGTATTTCCATTCTATCTCAATCTATTAGAGAATAATCTTGTACATAAATATTCTAATAAAATAAGAATATGTATATATAAAAAGAAAAAAGACATTATGTATACACTTACGTACACTTGTATACATAAAACAACATGGATCAAATATGCTTGTATGCTTACGGTTTTTTTTTCTTTTTACATATATGCATACTTACTCAAATAATCATTCTGTCATCGAAATGTCGTTTACAGCGCCATTCAGCTGATGCACACACATAAGCATGTCTTTTTTCTTTTCTTTTTTCTTTTTTTCGTTTTCTTTTGCGCACTACTTTCAATCAGATTGTACATATAGTGAATGCGTGTGTCAATATTTTGATAGAATCAATCGTCCTCTTCATTCTTTGAGGTTATGCATATAAGAATAGAAAAGTAGAGTCTTTTGAGTAAATGGTAGTCATTCAGCCATATTCATAAAACTGACTTTTTTTTTTATTAATATTCATCATGATAAGCACGTATGCTTTTGAAATCAAATCATAGAAAAAAAGAAAAAAATCCAGATAAGAAAAGAAGAGGAAGTTTATCTGAATACATAAATAGTGCACGTATGTATGATTTATCTACTACCGATTAGTATTAGACATAACATTCAAACGACAGATGGATGATGTTGAACGTGCTTATGTTCGTATATATTCAGGAAAAAAAAAGCAGATCAGAGAGTTAGCATTTTATTATATTTAAACATGATGATTATTCATGATCAGATTGTAGAATAAGTTGACTACGATAAACACAACATCTGTACAGACATATACATATATATTCTTTGTTCTCTCCGACATTACTATCATCACCAATGTGCTTCATTTATGAAAATAAAACAACTTTATGATAGAAACTTAGTTCAATGTGTCATGTCTATAAACTATTTCTACACTTATTATTATTCATAATGTGTATAAGTCTATCATCATCATTCAAATGTTTACAACCTTTTCACCTCTATATATTTTTCTACTCGTCCATGTGCAAGTATATATAAATATGTGCGCCATTCAATGCTTTAGGGTGAAATTCTATCGTCTAGTTGTCGTTTCTTTTATGGGTTGAAATTATGTGGCAATAGCGGCCGCACCAACTTTCTTGTTCTCTTGTCCTCACATCATGCTGTGTATATACGTCCGACGGATGGCATGAGTAGCGAGTATTCTCTTTCTCCCTTGCTCTCTCTCTCTCTTCCGTTCGCGTTATAGCAACTCCTAAGCATAGTACTACTCCCTTATATCAACTAGGAGATCCATCAGGCAGAATGACGAAGAGGAAAGGGGGAAAAAGAAAAGGCGGACGATGCTAAGAAAGAGAAAATGTCATTTCCATTTCTTCTTCTTTTCCGTCAGTTGTGTTCCATCAACAGTGCAATAGGAATAGTCGTGGCGGTGGACGACGGTCGGGCAAGTTCACCATTGACGAACATCGTTCTTTCTTTTCTCTTTACCTGTGCAATTGAAGAAGAAGAAGAAGAAGAAAAAAAACGAGCGAAGCAGTTGATTACCATCGTCATGTACATGTTCGCTATGTATACCTCTTTTTCACTCTATTCATTTTTCTACTCTTCTAGACAAGCCGTCAATGCTGTCCAGTATATCGTTTCTATACGACTGATTTAAAATTTTCGAAGAAAAAAAAAAAAGACAAAGCCATATATATATATATATATATATATAGATGTGGTATCCGCCGCAACAACACTGTCAGCCACCAAGCTGGCATGTATATATGAATAATAATTCAACACAACAACAACAACAACAACGAACTTATTTGAGGACTTCATATTATTGTAATAGTGATGAATCATCGATTACAAATCGAACACATGCTAATATAGTATCAATAAATGAAAAGAATGAATCATTTGTTCATTTTAATGCAATACAACACACTGATGAAGTTAACGGTAAAAAAGAAATTTTTTTATAGAACAAATTTCATTTACACTTGAGAATAAGGTTAATCATTTATATGAGTGTAGTAATTTATTACATTTTTTAAGGTTTCATTATTTTATAAGTAGACAAATAGAGAACGCGAGAGAGAAAACCAAGGCAGTTACATATGTATACATAGGTGCCTATATACAATGTTTTGATCAATAGTATTCAGTACCTATTTATATATAAGAAAACTAATTGTGCCATTCGCCATCTGTAACTACTACAGCCGTTCTCCTTGGTCTTGCGTAATGAATGATAATAATATTGGACGTGAATAGCGGCAACGACGACAGTAGTCGTGCTCGTCGTATAAGTTATTCTATTCAACCACTCATGTTTTTTTTTAGCAAGCTGATCGTTCGATCAATTAGATGGGTTGTTACTTGTAGATACTCATGTATGCGGTTCCTATCTAACGCCATTGTGTTCTATGAACATAGCCGAACGACGATAGAATCTAAATTAAATTAGAACGATTTCTATGAAGAAGAAACGACATCATTCTAGATTGGAGACATATAGTGTGTGCATATGAGAGTACTAAGGAAATCAAAATGCCAATAGCAATAAGATCTGTCAAAAATATACTAACGAAAAAAAAATTTTACGCTATATTGCTGATGATTTATGCCGATAGCGCACACAAGGAACCTTTTTTTTTCTTCTTTCTTGTCATTAGACTCATTTTGAAAATCATTATTACCGCTACCCTTGTATGACACGTATCTGATAAATATATTATACAGAAAAAAAAAAGTCGATGTAATAAATTTATGTTGTCTATAGGGAAGATATTTGTTGATTAGATGGCCATGATATGTCATGTTTTCGTTCGATTTGTATAGAGTAAAAGGACAGATTCAAACAACTAATTTAGAAACAAAGAATAAAGATGCTTCTTTTTTTTTTGACTAATTTATAAAGTTGCTCTGTCGAGTGTATGTAAATGGTTAAGTATAGTAGTAGTTCTCATTTGTTCAGAAGGCCAATATTCCTGTTCGTCGTCCCTTTGTTTCTATGAATTGAAAAGCAGTCAGGCCAAGAATGAAGAGAGGCTGTTGAAGTGTCAGAAATAACAAAAAAAAAAAAAAAAAAAAAAAAAAGAGAAGAAGCAGAATGGAAAACGTTCCTCCCCGGCGCCCCTTTCTCGCTTCATAATTAGAATGAATATTCCGTTGTTTGCTCGTCGACATACACGCACACACAACTATATGATGCGAAGAATAAAAAAAAGCAGGGATCGTCAATTATCTTCGTTCGTTTGTCATAGAGTAAAATAATTACTTTGCCATGTTAAGAATGTACAGAGAGAAAAAAAAGAACTGCTAATTATATAGACATCATCTGTTCATATGACAGTACACAATTGATGATCAGCTGATGATGTGTATATATATATATAGATTGTTGAGTTGATGTTTTATTGAACAATGATAATAAGTTTTTCTTTCTTTTTTCTTTCTCTCCTTTTGGTATTCCCATCATCAGTAATGTTTTATTGATGAACCACTTGATGAATATTCTTTGATGTATCTTGTCAGTTTTCTTCTTTATCTTTTTCTTTCTTTTTATTCCTTAGTATTTTTTTTTGCTCTCGAGTCATTTTCTTTTTTTTGTTTCTTCTCGACTCGGTAAGTGCGTAAGGAAGTATATATATATATATTTTTTTGTCTTTTCCATTCTTTGATCGTTTCTTGTTTCTTTTATGTATAACATTGACGTGTTCATTGTCATTACATATTTTGATTATCATTATGTCTTTATTCTAGTTACTGGTACGGACTATCAAAATATTAATTCTACCGGTTTTTATAGTGATGAAATGTTGTCATCACCGTCATCATTAACTTATCAAACGTCAAATACACATTGGAATCCAATTATTAATACATCAACAAAAACATCGATTATAATTAATACATCACAACAAAATTCTATTAATACCAATACATCATCATCGTCAACGTCAGGTTGTTGGGATTGGTTACTTTATTCACCTGATATTTATTCTCATTTATATACACCTTCATCGTCTTTCATTCAACAACAACATCAACAACAACAAGATGATGATCTTGATCTATTAGCGAGATTACCAACATGGTTACTCGTTTTACTTTATCCATCTATGAAACAAAATCATAATATTATGGACGATGAGAATGATAATAATGATCAAGAGATTACTTCTCTTAATAATAATAATCATGACGAGGCATTATTATCGATGAATATCGATAAACAAATTAATCAAGTCTCGTCAAATTTATTCTTATCGTCCGAAAATACTCTTAATAGTCAAAAAATTCAACAAAATCGTTCATCAACACCTGATACAGATGATGGTTATCAATCAGCTAGTGATGCTAGTCGTAGTGATTGTTCACAACAATCATCTTTACAATATGATCATCATAATAGTAAAGATGATATTACAAATAATACATCACCATCATCACTTATGCCAAAACGTATATCATATGCAGCTGCTGTAAAACCAATAGAAACATCAATAAATAATAATAATAATAATAAAATAAGTTCATTATCAACACCAATTATTAAAACAAAAATTAATTCATCATCATTAACAATAAATGATATGTTAAATAATAATGGTCAAAAATTAAAATTTGTTGCTCCACGTTTTGAACGAATGCATCATGCTAAACAAAATTCATCATCAACAATAACAACAATTAAAGATTCATCATTAACAAATCGAACACAAATTCGTTCGAATAATAATAATAATAATCAACGTAATCATATGAATAATTTAGCAAGACGTCGTTAAAATAAAAACTTCTTTCCCTCTCTTTTTTGACTTTATTTCTATATTAAACCGTTCAATAAAACAAACAAACTTTCTTTTATGTGTGTGTGTGTGT